ACTATTCGGATCATTACGGTTCAGGGTTCCAGGATTTTGATGCAGGGGTGCTCAACAGTTGGAATAGGTATTAGGGGGTATATTGCTAGAACAATCATTATAAAGGATCCTAAAGGAATACTGTCGAATATTTTGCTCCGATTGTTGAGGCCCCGGGTGTAAGAGGTCAGCGCTTAGGGGTTTCGGGTTGAAGGGGGATGGAGAGGAGTGAGGATGCTTGATGGAAGATGCTTGCAGACATCGTTAACGATGAAGGGTAACGTCTAGGATGGTGCAGGGTGTTTCAGACGATTCATCGCGGTGTTCCCTGACTGAAGCATGTTTTCAAGTGCATCTCAGGGTCTCACGCGCTGTGTCGATTCAGTCGAAGTGGCCGGCCTGGGTCCTGTTTTGGACTTAGCACTTTATCCGACCGCTTTTTGTTGGGCTCCGCTGGGCCGGCCATAAACCCTGAAGTGTGTGTGATTTGAAGCAAGCGGGTTCGAAAGTGTCACCCAAAGTAATACAGGGGCCTCAATAAGTACCTATACCCTTCTGTGCTATTTTGGGGGTTCCTCATTATAACTATAGACTATAGTCGTAGTATCATGTACCCCAAAACCTTATTCTAATTATTAAGGCCCCTACAATAGAATGGTCTGGGTGCAGGCTTCGAAGTCTTGGATCTTCAGCTTCACACGCCTCCAGGCATGACCGATGGACTCGCACACTACAGGAAGCTGCAGACGGTCCATACCGTTCTGGCCTCAGCTTTGTGTCGAGTTATTGGGTTTCGGGTCAGGGGAGCTGGGGGAGTTTGGGGTTGAGAGTTTAATTAGGGAGCTGAGGGTTTAGGGTTTTTGGAGTTCGGTGCTTCAGGGTTTAAGGTGAGGTCGGGGGTGCCGGTGGTCCAGACTTTGAGCTCATGCAGAGAGCCCACTATCCCTCAAGTGAGCAGTCTTGTCACTATACCCTCAGCCTACATAGAGCCATATTGAAATTGGTGCCATGTGTGTTCCGGGGATCTTGCGCCTTAGGCTCTCTGGGTGTTTGTTTTGGCAGCAACCTGGGTTCCCCTACAGTCGCCAGGGTCAACTTCCACTTTCCCTTACGAACTCGACACTGCTCTTCTGTCCCTACCCCTACTTCTTAATTGGGTGTACTGCGACCACGGCTAGGGCTCTATGACTGTTGCTTTTGGCATCGGTTCTTGCGATGCGAGCAGTGTTGCTATTCATACCAGCAGCATTATGACTATATCGCCATTGATTGTTGTCTATCAAGTCGTTTGCCTATACGTCGACGACCGGCACAGTTACCAGCGCCGCCACCGTCACCTCCACCGCCGAATATCTGAAGTCTGACAACCTGTCAAAGAGCGCAAATGGCAAACCCTAAACCCTAAACCCGGAAAGCTCGGAAGCCTTTCTGAATCCTTAGGGTTTAGGGTTTAGGGTTTAATTAATTTTATGCGACTCAGTGGTGTGCACCTAATTCCCCTGGTTGCCCCAGGACCTCTACTCCTCGAAGAGGATGTCAAGAAAGCAGGCGGGGGTACCGGTGAGTTCAGGATTTGGGGGAGCTCGGGCTACTGCCTACGAACTTCAACCCGTACTTGAACCCTAAACCCCTAAATCCGTACATCGATCCTTGAATCCTAAGCCTGTAAGCCGCGAGCCCTGAACTTGAGTTGCAAAGCTTCATCTCCAAAGCCCCAAAGAGTCCCGGCCATTTTCAGGTGGGTAGTTACCGTTATAGGAGCCTTATAATAGAAGCCCTATATACCCTAAACTCCCCACCTGTAGTTTCCATTAAAAGAGGGTCAATCAAGACCCCGAAGCCCCAACAGCAGCAAAGCCGAAACCTTTGGACACCGAAAGGCCCGAACCCAGCGATGCAACGCGCCTCCGGATGTCCAAAACGCTTTCCGTCATTTCGAAACGTCAGTTTTCGGCTGCGGCCATCAAGGTCGCACCACGAGACTCGTTGAAGGGGGGGCAGTTGCCATGCCGGCCCTTAGGCCCCCAGCCGATGTGTCCTGGTGCTACAGTAGCCCTAAACCCTAAACCCTTAGCCCTAAGCATGAAGAGCCTTCACCTCGGATCCGCCAGGAAAGTGTGGAACCCAAACTACCCAAGTTGCCTTCATTATCCATGTCTGCCGTAACTCCCAAAGGTATCCCCTGACAAGCAGCAGGCACCCTAACCCTCCAAGGAACCCCAAAGCCTCAGGCCGCCCTGAAACTTTAAAGCAAGACTGAACCTTTCGGGTGATTGCCCTCTGCCTTTTGCGCTATCCAGGCACGCCAGTGACACCGAGGTTGGAAGCGTTTCGGTTTGAGGGTTCAGGGTTTGCAAGGTTAAGAGTTTTGTGGTTTCGGGCTTGAGGGTTGAAGCTTTAGGGTTTAGGGTCTGCTGTTTAAGAGTTTAGGAGTAGGTCTACGTTCTGAACTGCCTTGACTCCAGATTCAGTCAGAGCTTCGGGATACGTACATGCATGCATGTCAGGAGGGGACGCCTTTTCTAGGGTTGGCAACATTGACAAGGGAACGCCCTTCAGCTCAGCCACAAGCGGTTGGCTGAAATGAATCGAACGCCATCTTCGGGTCTGTGGGTTGTCATCGCAGTGTGTGTATGTAAGCCTTGGTTCAAGTTTTCGTTGTCGAGGTTAAGGTTTTGAACGCGAGAGGTTTTCTTGTTTTCGTTCATCTGACCTATATACATGCATTGCAAGACAGTGCATGAGGCTGTAACGCACCATCCCACCTTTGCAAGGCTTGTTGCATTCCACCTGTAAAGTTGCGAATCTCATGAGAAGCCCCAACAGCCCTGGAGCCCTTGAAGCGGAAACTCTGACTGCATATTTCTATCAACTATCATATTAAATAGTATATAGCATATAGTAAACAATATCAAATATCCAAAGTATAATATATAGTACACAATATACAATATATAATATAAGTTTACAGTGTATAGCATATAATTGTGTGTATATCAAACGCCTGACGAAACTTGCTCAACTCGAAAGCCGCTAAGAAGCCAAGCAGGGCAGAGCACGAGCTCAGCCTTTCGGAAGCCGCCAGGGGCCTCATTTCAATGCATGTTTGCCAGTTTTTGTTGGTGTGATTATGGTTAGTGTTAGGGTTTTGTGGGTTTATGATTGTTATTTTTTTTAGTGGTTTTCTTATCGTTTGAACTTACGCTTTAAGGTTGCTCGGAACCTACAGGTTTACTCCGGATTTTGGCTTGAGCAATTAGCCTTTCAGGGAAGGGTTGGATCGAGGGGGTTTGGACTGAAGTTTTACAAGGGGTTGGGAGAATGTAGGAGCGCCCCTCACGACACTGGTCTTGATAGGGTCTGTGGACATTGAGTTCCCTGCTCGCGAGGCTGTCAGGGGTTAGAGGAAGTGGCGCAGTCTTTAACGCGCACTCATGCGTGTTCTCAACTTTTAAAGACCTGATTCACATTAAGGGTTTAGGGTTAAAGCGGGTTCTGCAGAGTTGAGCCGGGCTGCACATGCTTGCAGGGTTGATTTCAAGGGGGTGTAGGTTTCGGGGCTCGGGGTTTGTAGCAGCCCGCTGGGAGGTCGTTGATGCATCCGCTTGTGGTTCATTGTTTGACAGTTTTCTGGAGTTCCCAAGAGGCCCTAGACCGATCAAGTCCTTAAAGCCAGAACGGGCACGCGAAGTCGTTAGTCCCCTAATCTATTCCAGTTCTTGGGTTGTGGACAGCGCTATCCCAAGCCTTGAAGCCTAAGGTAGCTCCCACTGTCGGCTAAGGGCACGAACCGGAAACTCCTGAAAACGCCCTGAACCGCTCAAGAAGCAAACCCTGTTCGCAAGATAGAACACCGGTGCTTCCCCGAGTTCTAAGACGCCTTAAACTCGCAAATAACTAACTGGAGATCTCCAAGCCCTTCAAAGAACAGTGGTCACTTTTCAATATCGGGGCCCTAACAATAATATCAACAATACTTAGAACAGTGCTTTGTGGTATACGTATTCTACGTTTATATAACTTATATCCTGAGGAGCTCCTGAAATAGTATTGGTAGTTATCCCTAAGCCCTAAACCCTAAACCCTAAACCCTAAACCCTAAAAACTAAACCCTAAACCCTAAACCCTAAACCCTATAAACCCTAAAGTAGGCTTCGAGGTCTTAGGTCCCAGGCCGGCGCCCTGAGTCCCAGGTTTTCAACCTCGCCAACACTGCCTGGGACTTTGCGATCTTTGCCCCCCCTGTTCTTGCTGGTCCCAAAAGGGTTAGGGTTTAGGGATCTTTGCCCCCTGGTTTTTGCCGGTCCCAAAAGGGCAGCAGCATGCAAAGTAGGGTCTGTGTGCCGGTTTTGCTGATATTGTTTGTAATTTGACAAATAGGGTTAGTAGTAGTAATAATGGTAATACTTGCGCTGACAATAAGAATATCATCGTGATAAGCCCCATATCGGATGTAGACGTGCGATTCCTCTGGAATCAACGTTTTGTTGGATCACCGTGGTCCTCAGAACGTGGGAAGCAGCCAGTTCGGCTTCTGATTGAAGTTGAGTTGGCGAGGCTGTAACTGCCACCACACAAGCTGCAATGCTGCCGTGGTTGTCTCATCGGAGAGCCTTGCGCTTTGTCATGTAGTTGGCCAGCCATCTCTCAACTGCGACCGGCCTTCGTCGAGATAACTTGCATTGAACTTGCGATACCATGGTGTAGATTTCAACTCGGGCTTGCAGTGATCGGGCACGGATGTTCGGTTGTTAAATGGAGCAAAGCAGGGTGTCATTATTGTAAGAGAATGCATGCCAGAGGTTCAGGAGAGCGCATGGTAAGTATGGAATGGATGTCTGTGCTTGCAAAGACTTTCCTCTCCAAGGATTTCGGCATGGATTTCTTGCAGGCACAGTCGACTCGGCCCTGTCATGTACATGTACGTAGTGACACGTCATGCAAGGAAACCCGCTGACTCCTGCTTGATTGCCAGCTTACGTTTTAATTTCAGCCCGTGTTCCCGAATTTCCGTGCTCAGCATGGATGCTGAAGTTGTCCCGAGCTATGCGGCTGCCCGTAAGTTGCCATTGTCGACACGCTGCGCCAGCTGGCCCTATCCCACGTCTCCGGTAAAGATGTATCTGATGCCTCAATGGGAGTTCCTGGCTTCAGAGCCGGATTTGTGGAAGCCCTTTGCAGCTGAGTCGTCCGACGAAGTCGAGCAGGCATTCAATTTATGCCAAACACGCTTGAAAGTGACCATCGGTCGGTACACATACGACATCGATCTGGAGAACTTAGTGCAAACAAATTGTCAAACACGCAGGAAGCGAGCCGTTCGCAGAGAAATGGTACTGGACATGCACGTGACCGTGCACGCAACACTAGCAGCTCAAGAGCATGAGATCCGTTCACAGCGGTCTCAGATGGAACACATGACGCATGAGCTGGAACTGCAGGATCTTCAGGCGCAGCACATGATGCTTGATCTAGAGGATCAGTGCCGTTTGCAGTCGACCCAGATGCAGCAATTGACGCAACAGTTGGCATTACAAGAGCAGACGACGCAAGAGCTGGCTCTTGAGGAGGATCTGCAGAAGTCTCAGATGCAGCAAATGACGCAGGAGCTGGCTTTACAAGAAGATCTGCTGCAGCAGACCACACAAAACCTGGCAACAAGAGACCACCAGGTGAATCAAATGACGCAGGAGATGGCTCTACAAGAAGATCAGATACAGCAATTGACGCAAGAGCTGGCTCTGCAAGAGGATCAGGTCCATGAACAGAGCTCTGAGCTGCTTGAGCTGCAACGACTGCTGGAAGACACCCACCGCCAGCTGTTGTGTGGTCTTGAGCTTCCGGACACGGCTACTTTGTCAAACGCTGCCAATCTTCCCAGCGGCAACAGCAAGTACCTTCGCCGACCTTTACACCGTCTACATCCAGAGTTTCGTGCTTTGCAGGATATGTTCCTCAAGTCCATGGTGAAACATCGAGCCAGCCGGAAGTCAGATGTCTGGTGCGAGCCACCGAATGTGGAAATAGCAGCCATTGAGGAGGTCGCGAACAGCAACATGCAAAGCCTTTACGAAGCAGCACGGGCAGGTGAGGTTCGGGAGAGAAACCCACAGGGATGTGAAGCAATTCAGGGTATTTCTGCATGGAAATGTAGCAGTGGAAAGTCTGGCCAAGTGGACCTGAACGAGTACTTGCTTTTCCACGGCCGGATTCGATCCGCAAATGAGTGGGGCAGCTGTAGGTGCGATGTTTGGGCAAGGCACATACTTCGCAGAGAACGCTTCAAAGTCTGATTTGTATACGACCTGCGATCTGTGCGAGGCTGATGCTACATGCCAACACTGCGATCATGCCCATGGGATGCGCCAAATGATTGTAGCACGTGTTCTGCTTGGGCAAAGCATACCTGTCACTTCTGGGGATCCTCAGCGGAGAACAGCAATACTGCGACCTGAATCTGGGCAGGAAGGGAATTCTCGCGTGGCGTATGACTCTCGCACTGCTTTGCCAAAGGCAAGGGGTGGGGCCATAGACCACATGGAGTTCATCATTTTCAAGCAGCAGATGGCGTTGCTACGATACGTGATCACGTACCGCCATAAGCAAAGTTGCACGTGTCACATGTGCGGAGCGAGGCGCGACCGCTAAAGCAACATGTTTTCGTCGGAGCGAGAACTGAGGAGCTCTGTGAAGAGCATCTTTGAGTACATACCCGCAAACCCTACTGTTATTATTATTATTATGATGTTTATTATTATTATTATTAATACTATTATTAATATTACTATTAATATTACTATTAATATTATTATTATTATTATTAAGGACCCTATACTAACCCCCCCCCCCCCGACTGGAGTCCCGACCGAGGTCCTCGGCGTCGGCGTGCTCAGCATCCCGCTTGGCTCTAAGCCACTCTTCACCCAAGGGCTCCATGTACCCACATAGTAGATACCCAGGCCTTCAAGTACCTATATAGGGACCCCTTTAAGGCCTAAGTATCTACTATAAAGGTACATTGAGCCCTTAGGGTCAGTTGGGAGGTTGAGCTGGGCGTGCGCAGGGCTTATATGACTTGCATGTGCCACCTACATCGCCATCTTGTCCGGGCAGAAGCATAGTCAATCACCTTCATTAAGGCGGTGGAAGCACGTCGTTGACGGCACAAGTTCCGGGAGCTGGCTTCTAAACTCGATGCAATCCTGAACCGAGGAGTGAGTTAACCGCATTGAGAGATGCCATCAGACCCGTTTGGTCTCAGATGTTGCTTCCGAATAATTCTTGAATAGGGCTGCGAAGGTAGAAGCTTCTCGTGAAGACTTGCCGTTCCAAAGTCTGACCGTAGCTCCAACCCTGTAGATGTTGTTCTCCACCTACTGCAGGTGAACAGAATGCCAACAACAAAGCAATGCGACTTCAGGCGGCAAAGGGCAAAAGGCAAAAGCATCGTCGAATTCTGAGTGCAGAACCCCAAGAGCCCTAGGGTCTGCAAATTTGAGCACCAAGTCAAACCAAATGTAGGCGCCTAAACAATTACCTATACTATTTTTGGGGGTTCCTTATCATAAGCATAGTATAATATACCCCAAAACCCTATTCTAACTAGCAGCCGCCCGGAAAGCCCAACATCGCTTAATTCCCTGAAAACCTCCGGCATAAACCCTCTACCCTGAAAGAAGCCCAAAGCCCGAAGGTATGCCTTTCGCCTGAGCGGCTATGTTTCGATACTGTGATCTTGGCGTGCTTTCTGGTTTTGGGTTCAGGGTTGAGGTTAAGATTGAAAAGGAGTATACTGTAGTGCTTAGTGCTCAGGGAGTCTGTCGTTCGAGCCTTAGTTTGTTCGTGCCCAGGGTTGAGCGTTGCAGAGTTGATTGTGAGATTCGTTGGTCCTTCACATGATCATGATGCAGTTCTCTGTGCCCCATCAGGTTTTTCGGCGGTTAGAGACGCAGACATATTTGAGGTGTGAGCGTCACAGTCCATACAGTTTCGGCGAAGGGCCGTGGCACATGCAAGACGTAGCAAATCTGTAAGAATTCAGACCACGTCGCAGCATTTCGATTAGCAGTACACTACACACCTGCTTGCTGGAAAAATTGTCTGCAGGCCTCAACCCTTGCAGCATTCTTTTTGTGGCTCACCCGCAAGTGATTCGCAGCGTCCTGAGCGCCAGCATCTAATCACCCGTAGAGCTTGGGAGTAGGTAGAGTATGGAGTTCGGGCATAGTTGTTCGGATGCAGTGTGAAGTGTACTTCGAGCTTGGTCTGGGAGCATAACGAGCTGATCAGTGCACAGTATGGCTGGGTATCTTCTGGGAAGTGGTACAAGTATCGTCTGATCTGGGTCTAGGCCGTGGAATGGCTGTCCCCATGTCCGAACCTGTCCGAATCTACGCCCTGAGCAACAGGATGCACAACAAATCGGAACCCGTCACCCCTGCCCCCTAAACCCTTCAACCCGACTACCCTAAACCCTAAACCCTAAACCCCAAACCCTAAATCCCAAACCAGCTGCCCTGAACCTGAACCCTGCCAGGTTGATTTTGGTGACCATCCTGATCACCGCACAGACGGGTGTGTTCATAGGTTCAGCAGCTTCCCCAGCTTCCTCTGTGCACATGAGCCACGCCAGAACATGATGGGCTAGCTCAAAATCATGTCAAGACAACACCAGCTTTGCTCGGTATTTACATTATTTTCGTCTGCTTTCATGATGTCGGACCATCTTGGTCCCAAAATTTCCTGAGGTCCAGACCCTAAACCCCAAACCCTACATTCTAAAACCACTGAAGGCCTAAGCCTCGAGACCCCCCATAAACCTTGCGCAAGCCTTCTGAAGAACGGGCCTCCGTCGGATGGGCTGGGTCGTTTTACCCGACGTACTTTTATTTAGATCCCAGAGACTCCAATATCCCTTAATTAAGGAATATACCTTAAATTGTAGTAGGATCCCTAGTATGATTTAAAGGCATATTCCTTAATTCAGGGATATTGAAGTCTCTGGGATTGAATTGCTATCTACAACCCTGCTTCCTCGCTGGCCATGAGGCATTGCAGCTTGCCAGCAGGAGTCGGCTACATGCTTTTGCTTGCAACTCTCACCCGGTTTGGGGCGATGTCTAAGGGGGCAGATATGCTTCAGCAGCAAGCGTGGCTACGTTGAGCAGCGAGGCTTAACGGAGCCCTGTTCCATAATCTAAAGTCTATTAAAGTTGAACTTAAAATAGGGGTGGAGGATGGGAACCTCTTTCCTGAAGCGCAGACTATGGCATATACTGTCGGATAACGGCCCTCATTCTACCCAGCGAAATCAAAGATGTCGGAATGTCATGCCTTGCAATTGCAGTCCATACCCCGAAACCATACTTGGGGAGCTTCGAGTTTGAATCTCCCATCCCTTGAACGAGACTTTCTCGACTCAGATCCCTCAGTCGTCGTGACTCTAACTTCGCTAAGTCTCACGCACAGGCCCTGACCAAAAATCCGAAGCCCTAACCCCAGCACGCAAAGTATGGTTTGAGGGGCTCCGGCGTTGAGAAAGTTTCGGGAACGCTCCATAACGGCAGAGGTATCAGAATATCGCATCTAGAGGTTTAGTCTCACGGTATCGGCTTTAGAAGATGCGCTAAGCTTCCGGACGGAAGAGTTACTGCGACTGCCTCTTCTGATACTGCTGCTAGTGCTGCAACGTCTGCGATACCCATCGCTGAAATAGCGCCGACGGCGCCGACAACAGTGCCGACCACAACGACGATAACGGGCGGCGATCACGAGCGGGACGACGACGACGACGACGACGACGACTGCAATCTGTGGTGATCAGCAGGGAGCAGCATTATGAGCATGATGGAGATCGTTGCTGTCCACTTCTCGCACAACAGTTCAAGCTCTCCAGCTTTGTCCAGCGTCATCGTCATGTACCACCAGCCATTCTGCAGTAAAATTTCGGCAGTCCCGCAAAGCCTGGAGTCCTAGAGCGCTAAACTTCCCTCGCCCAAAGGGTCCAAGTACCATTATAGTAGGTACTGAGTAGGTCTGTGGGCCCCAAAAGTATAGCGGGTTTAGGGTTTAGGGTTTAGGGTATACTATACTAGTACTTGGACCCTTTGGGTCAAATACTGCTCAAATGGCGACAGCCTCCAGGAGCCCTCAGTCAGCCTTGGTGCCTCCACGAGGTCAGACTCACGGACAGGGGCCCGCTGTTTAGTATACGTGGCCTAGGCTTAGGGTTTGGGGTTTGGGGTATGCGGCCTAGCGTTGAAGGTTTGAGGCTGCTTCATTCAGTTTTTGGGCGAAGCGTCGAGCATTTGGGCGTAAAATCCCCGCGAGTCCACCGTTCTGCATGAGGAATATATTACTGTACTCGAGCAACAGATGGCACTTTAATCCGTAAAGTGATTTGAGATATTTGGCTTCAGCAGAGCTGGACCCTCTGAGATTCGCGTCCTTTCCCATTTTGGGGTGCTCTTCAGTGCAGGGTAAGCAGCAAGGGCTATGTGTATCTATCAATGTAAATGTACATGCACATGTCACATGTCAATGTATACACACGCGTTCCTGAATGTAGATGGGCACAGTTGGGCCATATTTTGTGATAATATCAGAATACACTGTGATGTTCAGTCACCGGCTTTCTCGCAGTTGTTATCGTATTACGCCTTCATTGTTTATACTCCTACTTACTATGACTGGTAGCACTCTGATCGTTATGTTTAGTGATTGGTGTTGAACGCGACCATAGACTGGAGCTGAAGCCTAGGGTTTCAAAGTGCCTTTTTAAATCTTGTTCGTCCCGGAAGTCGGAACCCGAAACCATACCTATCCAAGTACTAAATTCCCAAGCCCTAACTCATAAACCCCAAAGCCTGCCTCCTAAAGACCTCCTACACTAAACTCCCGGCCCTGCCCCCCCTGAACCCGAAGCACTACAGCTCACACTCTCCTAGCCCTTCGCGCTGAACCCGGCAGTCTCACTCGCTGTCTCCGAAACACGGGAGCCACGCTTGTCCGTGTACGTGACAAGTTACCCCAAAAAAGCCTTTTCAAATCAAGGCCGTAGACTATAGCCCGAGCACCCTACTAAGCCGTTTTAAACCTATTAGTAGCCGTCATAGTAACCCTCAACTCCCTTCTCACAAGAAATAGAAACACCAGCCGAAACCCAAAACCCTAAACCCAACAACGGCAGCCCTTATAGTAGCCCTACAAAGCCCTGTTTCAATCTAAACCCACAGTCCCAAACCTCAACAGTAGCCCACAGAGTAGCCCTGCCCAGCGCCATTCCAACCTACAGCCGAAACCCGAACTTTGAACCTCAAACCCTAAACCCTTAAACCTGAACCCTAAACCCTAAACCCGAAACTCTGAACCCTA